AGCCAAAATCAGGTGGAGGAATACAGCAGACACATAAATTATTTTGTTTAATATGGAATTTCCCTCATTCACTGAGGTGAAAACTATTGGTGCAATCATAGTTCCAGTAACACCTCCATTTGACAGATGAATTAATAAAACAGCATTGTACTCTAGTCTTTCTGTAAATGATTCTTCTCAAAGCAAAACAGGTTTTGTGATGCCTTTGTGATTAAAACTCTTTAGATTTGAAACATTAGGTTTATTTTTCATAAAATCTTCAGTTGAGATAGTTCTAGTACTCATTACAAATCTATGTAATGGTTTTGCAAATGATGTTAATATTAGCGACTCTTCTGAAATCAACTCTACGGGTTATGTACTATTACTAGTAGTGTCTGTAACCCTTGGTTAGAGACATAGTTAAATCTCTGTATAACATTTAAAAGGGATTGTTCAAAGTTGAGAGAGAAATCCCACAAGAGTCAACAAGAAAAGAGAGAAAGGGAAACAAATACTTAAAAATTCATTGACCCACTCTGAATATCTGACCTAAAAAAGGAAACTAGTACACAGAAGAGTTAAGTGGTCACAGAAGTTTGAGAAAAGTTTCTTCCTACTTGTGAAATATAGCCTAAGGCTTTCATCTTCTGTCCTTGGCTTCCCAGCATCTCCCCAGCAAGGCTTTCCTCATTTTACAATCCTCTTAAGCCAAGAGGTGAAGAACAAAGTTATGTTTATGGGATAATTTTCCTTTTTATCTTGCAAATAATCTCCCTGAGACAGGGGAATATAAATTCAAGATGCCCTTGAAGAAGTGCAAAATTTGACATTTATTGTATTTGAGGAATCTCTTTTGTCTTACATCCAAGGTCATTTCCGATAAAAAGGTGAAAAGGTGGGTTACTCCAGGAAAAGCAGAATAGATTTCACAAGTGTACCTGCTAATCCTCCTGTGCTGCTAGAATATGCTTACACAGGGAGGGGGTCAATCAGGCCTGATTAGCATGTCTTTTAACCTGGAGCTGACAGAAGTGGACCTTCATTTAGAGCGGCACTTTTTCATTCTATACCTTTCAAGGAAAAAAAAAAGAACCCATGTTGAAGTGTGAATGTATTTGCATATATTTAAAATTACTCATAGCTGGTAGGCAGACAAAGAACAATGAACAGAAGGAAAACTTGTATTTCCGTCATTTTAAAGAGTGCACACCACGGAATTCTTATGCCTATGAACGCTTCTTTGCTCATTTTCCTTTGCTGGTTCTTCTCAGCTCCCCCAACCTCTAAATTTTTCAATGTATTGGGGCTCAATGCTTTCTCATCTCTTCTCCTCTCTCCACTTCCTTCCTCAGTGTTTCTTGGCTTTAGACGCGTTTCTGGTAACAATTCCCAAATTTATGTTTTCATCCCAGATCCCTTCCTCGATGTTAACTCTATTTGGTTTCTCATTGTCATTTCAACTAACACTTCCAAACTGGAATGCCTGATTTCTCCCCTCATTTACTGAAGTGATCTTTTCTCATCTCAGTAAATGGTATCTACATCTCTTCTGTTATTTAGGCCAAAAATCTTGGAGTCGTCTTGATTTCTATATCAAATTCGTCAGATAATCCAATTAGTCATAGTCAGATTTTATGCAGACTTATCCCTCCATATCCACTACCCTGATCTAAGCTCCAAATCAACTCTAGGCTGGAAGTAGTCTTCATGGCAACAACCTCTAACAGTTTCCATTATAGTAATATAACACTGAAATACACTGAATAATTTCCTATACGCAAGATTTTTGCCTTAGAGATATATAGCATTATAAATCATAAAAATTGTTCAAATGATTACCATCCATCACATTTTATAGATGAGGAAACTGAGGCTCAGAGAAGTAATTTGTGATCCAGGCATTCCATGGCACGGCTTCAATTTGAACAGAATGAACAGACTCTAAAACCAATCATACATAATATTCCACCTCTGTTGTCCCACCCAGAGGACTGTCTACACTGATGGCAATCAGGGATCATATAGGTGGGGATGAAGTCAGTGTGGCAGATGTATCAGGTAGAGATGTTCAGGGCCTTGTCATATTATAGTGTTAGAATTATGCCACTTAGGTGCTTGCCTATTTAGTCTACAACTAGGGCCAGCACAAAAGCCCAGATTTTTTCTTTAAATCAAAAGTTGTTTTTTTTTTTTTTTTGGTGTATTTATGAATATGGTCAAAGAAAAAAATTATAATGGTGATCTGAAACTCATAATATTACAGAAAACATTATATCTGAGTCTTAGTAAATTTATATTAAGCAGCCACTCAAAAAAGATAGCAAGTTAAATAGATTAAGGCATACAAAAAAAAAGCTCTCTAAAGATTGAAAAGGAAGGTACAATAAAATAGGTAAGGAAAAAAGAACAATAACAATCCCTTTCCCTCAAAAAAAATTAGATCGTAAAACAAAATCACTTCAATACAGCTTTTGAGCAGTGATTTTTTTACTGGTTTTCTTTAAAGACTAATTCAATGTTTCAAATAATATTCGAAAGCTCTCTCTTTCGAATAATTTATAATGCATACTGTTTATCATTACTGTAAAACATTATTTTTAAAGTCCTTTATCATTCATATTTCTTTTCATTCACATGCTGTTATTGAACTAAATGTTAATGACCCCATGGAAATCCTCCTATACCGCAGAACGCCTTAAAGTCATAATCTGGATAATGTAGGCTGACCTAGAATGTATATATTCCGAAATTTTCTTTTCTATGACCATATGTATGTCTGTTTATGTGCTGCGCCCCACAAATAATCACAAGCTTATATTGTCCTGTACAGAG